ATTTCTTGGCAACGTTTCCATTATTTTGCTGTTATTGTCCTTTCACTTACATTGTTTTTTTGTTTGTTTTGTTTTGCTAGGCAATGGGGTTAAGTGACTTGCCCAAGATCACATAACTAGTTAAGTGTCAAGTGTCTGAGACCAGATTTGAACTCAGGTCCTCCTGACTCTAAGGCCGGAGCTCTATCCACTGTGCCACCTAGCTGCCCCCTTTCACTTATATTGTTGCAACCATCATACACACATACATACATATATGAGAGAGAGAGAGAGAGAAATGATTATTTCTCCCATATAGTAATGACCAATTATTGAATTAGGATTAAGGTTTTTCCCCTTTCTACGTCCTCATTCAGAAATCTGCCCCTTGTAGGTTATTCAGTCAGCATCTAAAGGACACTGCTGATAATGACATTGGATTAACTGCCTCCTCAATCTTGTTCGAACCCCCACCCAAGGGGGGAAGCTCATTATGCTCTACTCAGGCTTGGGTGGGTGGGTGAAGGGGAAGGGAAGATGTAGAACCTTTGTCTAGATTGTCCAGGGCTGGGGGCAGTCTGGGAGTAAGAGTGACATAAACAAAGTCCACATTCCCCCAGTCCCTCATTATAATATGTCTACCTCTCATTATAATATTCATTTTTCTCATTAATTGTTAACCAGAGTTGATTGCTATTTGTCAGGAACACTCACTCTTCCAAGGGCATATAAGCATCAATAGGCCCCCATGATCTGTCCTTGGTTTACAAGAGACAGCCAAATGACCAATTTTTTTATTCAATATTTGCAAGCCCTAATTATTAAAATGATTAATTACCCAGAAATTGTCTCTCAAACTATACATATATATACACATACATGTATGCATGCATATTTTAACCAGGCCTTGTTTGTTTCATTTTACATGAGTTTGAGTTCTCATGATTCCCTGCATTTGTCAGATTGCTTGTTTCTTATGGCATAGTAATATTCCATTACTACATTCATGAACCACAATTTGTTTAGCTGCTCCCCAAGGAATGGACATCTGTTTAGTTTTCAGTTCACTGCTACTACAAAAAAAATACTATTACAAATATTTTAGTGTATATGGGACCTCTCTATTATCACTGAGTTTTTGGGGGTATGTGTCCAGCAATGGGAGTGCTAGGTCAAAGAGAATGGATGTTTAATTCACTCTCTTAGCCTAATTCCAAATTGCTTCCTAGAGTGGCTGGAGAAATTCGCAACAATGCCAACATGATATACAACAACTCTTAAAAGAATGTCTACTAAGTCAGAGAAGTTGTAATTTGCACTGGTTTAGGAGATGAAAAAGTGACTCTGCCAGTTACACTAGAAAGGTTAAAATCTGTTAGTCAACAGCAGGGCTATGTTAAATCCAAGTTTTCTGATTTCATATCCAAAGCTCCTTCCACTAAGAGGCTACTTTTCTGTGTTAATGTAACGGTTGCTTCATGGAAAGAGCTCATCCAGCTGACGAAACATATAGGGAGAGAAGCAGGGGCAGCTGGAAAACTCATCTTCCTGAATTCAAATCCAGCCTCAGACACTTACTAGCTAAGTGAGCCTGAGCAAGTCACTGAACCCTGTTGGCTTCAGTTTCTCATCTGTAAAATGAACTGGAGAAGGAAATGGCAAAACACTCCAGTATCTTTGCCAAGAAAACCCCAAATGGGATTATGACTGAAAAGGACTGAACACAGGGAGAGAAACTTCTTCAGAATCAGCTACCCAGTTCTTGGATCAATCCATCAACAAGCCTTTAATAAGCACCTACTATGTTCTAGGCACTATGCTAGGCCCTGTAGATAGAAGTATAGCTGATGAAACAATTCTTACCCTGAAGCAGTTTATATGCTAACACATGCTAAAAAAAAGTAAAGGGAAAAGTTACAGATGTGAGATCTCAGAATCACAACCAGAGAACTTAGGAGTTGCAAGGTAACTCAGTAAGCTTCTGACGACTTCAACCCATACACAAATGGGACCATCACCATAAAATAATTGACAAGTGATCATACAGCTTGAAGACTTCCAAGAAAGACCTCTTGTCTCTGAAAGCAGGTGATAACCCTTCAAATATTTAAAGACAACTATCATATCTCTTCTGAGTCTTTTCTCTAGGCTAAACATGCTCTCTCCTCATTTCATGGCCTCAAGGCCCTTCAGCATCCTAGCTGCCCTCCTCTAGACACTCTCCAGTATGAAACCATGACGTCAGTTTCTGGGGATGTTAATTCAATAGGCTTTGGAACTTCTGTTGTGGATCTAAGCTGTTGTGTTGGCTGGTGAGTGAGTGCAAACTCTGTGTTTAGCCAGACAGATGAGACCATACTTCTCATTCCATCTATCCTCTGTTATGGCCAGAAACCCTGAGGGTCTTCCTCTCCCAGATTTTTTTTTTTAAGTATGCAAACTAGACCATCTTTTGCCTCATTTCCAACCTGGCCTTAAATCACTGAATACATACACCTTAAATCAGACTAACTGAGACCTGGGAATGACCTTAGCTTAAAAAGGCCAAAGACTCCCACTGTGCATCTGGGGACATCACAAGTCATCCTGATCTCTATCTTGCCACTGGACTCAGACAACTCTGGAGGAGTGAGGCTGATAACTCTGCACAGTCCTGCCTCACTTAAATCCAATTCACTAGCAAGTCAACACATCACCCTCCTGATGTCATTGGTCCTCTTCCAGAACAAAGGACGAACAGCAAATAACAACATCCATCCATATTATCTATCTTTGACATTGGCCCTGCTTCCATATCACCTGACACCCTTAAAGTGTAAGGAACACATTGCTTTGGACTTACTATTAATAAAATAAATACTATTATTGCTTGGGAAAGGATGCATCAGTTGATTTCCTTATGGACCAATGTATCATCCAGTGACTCTCCAGACCAAAACCCCTTTGCCTGGACACCCTTTCTTTATATCTTGTCTCCCACATATTAGATGTAGACTCCCTTTTTGTACTTCTGTCCCCAGCACTTACCAGAGTCTTGCACATAATAACTGCTTGGTACATGTATTTTTTAAATCATTCACTGAGTGCACAGAAACTAAAAGACACTTTTGAGGGGCCATCCAGTCCAACCTTTCACTTCTGAGATAAGCAAACAGACTCCAGGGAAGTCAAGAGACAAGCTAGCCAAGGCCCCAAACACAATCAGCAAATAGAACCTGCATAGGAACTCAGATTCCAAATTCATTATTCCTCCCACTAAACCAAGCTATTCCCTTCCTCATTATGTGAGATTTTGCCAATAAAAGATGAGGTTGGATGATAATAATAATAATAATAATAATAATGATGATGATGATGATAATTTGCTGTTGCTGTAGGATTCTTTGTGACCCCATTGGGGGTCTTCTTGGCAAAGATACTGGAGTGGTTCTCCATTTCCTTCTCCAGCTCATTTTACAGATGAGGAAACTGAGGCCAACAGGGTTAAGTGATTTTGCCCAGGGTGTCACAACTAGTAAGCGTTTGCTCAGCACTTTACCCACTGCGATACCTAGCTGCCCCAAGATTTGCAAAGCATTTTATAAATATCTCATGTGACGCTCACAACAACCCTGGGGGTTTAAATACTATCATTATCTTCATTTTACAACTGAGAAAACTAAGGCACAGATCAGTTAAGTGATTTGTCCAGGGTCACACGGATAAGTACCTAAAGACAAATTGTAACTTAGACCTTTCACGGCTCTAGTCACATGAGAGTAGGAAACCAGTCTGCCACCCTGGAATCACCTATAATCTTCTTTTGTTTAAATTTCATAATGCTCTTCTCTAATAATCAAGAATCTCCACCATAAAACAAACAGGAAGAATGCACTGACACGACTAATAAGGAGCTTGGTGACACTTAAGCACTGACGTCCCAAAGAGGACTGAAATAATTCAGGTTCTTGTTTAACACAAAACAGAAGGCGGCCCAAAAGTCTTAGTTCAGTTTTAAGCTATTAAAGCTTAAAGACTCTTGAGTGCACTGCATTGAACAGTCTGAACATTTAACTGCTTTGCTTTTGGCTTTAACAGGGGCAAGACAGGAATAATGATTTTACTGTAAAAGGGAGCCTTGAAAACTCCCCAGAGTGATTTCAACAATGCATTAGAGTTCCAAACTTATCTAAAGCTATCAGTCATTAAAAAAAACCCCACAAAAACCGCAAAAGAAACAACCACCCCGCCCGCCCCACCAAGCGAGGCACCAGAAAGTTTAACCTCAAACCCAAAGAAAAGCTTAATTCAACTCAGTAACAGAAGACCATCTTTACGCCCATCTTTACGCTCTCCTTTCTTAACACCCAGCGCATACGAACACTTCCGTGGGCTTCAGAAGGGTCGGGACAAGATTTGGGAGAGGACCCGAGAGGTCAAATAAGCCAGCGAGCTCCCCAAGCCAAGTTCTCGGTCACGGGGGAGATAAGAACACTTGCATCGCTCCAGGGGGTCACGAGGGCTGGGGCCTAGGCTCCCACGCCCCGCGCCGCCTCCCTCCACTTTTCCCTTTTCCAGCCCAGCACCTAGGAGCCCTCTCCGTCTCAATACCGCGCACGCCTCCTGGGCGGAGGCAGCCCACGGGCCCCGCAGGTAGGTGGCCCACGCGCACCCCGGAGGCCGTCCTGGAGGGAGGGCCCCACCCCTGCCAGCAGCCGGAGCCTACGCCCCGGCCTCCAGCTGGGGCCACCTCTCCCTGCCCGCCGGCCAGCTCGCAGCTGCGCGCTGACGTCACGCGCCGCCTGAAAGGCGGAAGCGCGAGCGCGGGCGCGGCTGCGGTGGCGGCGCGAGCTGCGGCAGGATTCGTTCCCTCCCAGTGAGAGGCGCTCGGGATACCGAGCAGGATGCGCCCGACCCCTGCCCCTGCCCCTGCCCCGGCGCCGGCGCTGGGCTTCTAGCGCAGCCCGCTCCGCCGCGCCTCGCCTCGCCTCGCCTCGCCTCGCCTCGCAGCGCCTCGCCTCGCCTCGCCCGGGGCCGGGGTAGGAGAGGGGGCGGTCGTGGGCTTGATCCTCTCGCCGCTGCTGCCGCCTCCTCTGCCGCCGCCCTCGGTGGATCTTGGCGGGGCACGATGAGCGACGCAGGGGACAGGGCTCCTGGAGTAGATGCTGCCTCTCAGGCCGCGGGAGAACCCGGCCCCACGGCCGCCAAGGGTCCCGGCGGGGAATCCCCGCCCGCGATGCTGAGCGTGGACGTGCCGGGGCTGTGCGCGCAGTTCGCCCGCAGCTTCGTGTTGCTGTTCCCGGTATACGTGCTGGGCTACCTGGGGCTGAGCTTCCTGTGGATCCTGCTGGGGCTGCTGCTGCTCTTCTGGTGCCGGAGGAACAAGGGCCATAAGACCTCCCGCTTCTACCGGGCGCTGGCCTTCCTGGAGAACGAGGAGCAGGCGGTGCGGCTCAGCATCTGCACCTCTGACCTGCCCGCTTGGGTGAGCCTCCTCCGTGAACCCCCTCCCCAGCCTCCCCTAACCGGCTTATGTAAGGGGTTGTCCCCTCCCTCCCCCCGCCAGCCCTCGAGCCGCTGCCCACCTAAACAGCTGACCGACCCACCGCTGTCATTGAGTGCCATCCCCTTCTCAAACATTATCCCGGGGCCACCCTTTCCGAAGAAAGTGCCGTGTCCTTTGGGCACAACTCTGGATTTTGTCCCCCCTTCTCTTGGAAGAAGGAGCGCATATGGACAGAGGTGTTGTAGACCCAGATTTACTGCGTGCATTATTGTAGCCTGCCACATCCTGAAATGTCGTGCCAGAAATTCCGTGTTCTTCCTTTTACATGATCCTTAGCTTATTGGCCTCTGGGGGAAATGACTGCTGCTCTTTGCTGTTTTCCCAGAGAGATGAGTAGTTTGCTTGTTTGGTTCTGAGCCAGCCAGGATGCCCTTTTCTGTTTCATGTCAAGCTTTCGCATACAAGGCCTGGGGAATGATCGTAGAACTGTAATGACTTAAGCTTTTCTCTTTCTTTCTTTCTTTCTTTCTTTCTTTCTTTCTTTCTTTCTTTCTTTCTTTCTTTCTTTCTTTCTTTCTTTCTTTCTTTCTTTCTTCTTTCTTTCTTTTTCTTTCTTTCTCTCTTTCTTTCCCTCCCTTTCTTTTCCCTCTACCTCCCCCCCCCAAAAAATAGGATGATGTATTTCTTTTTGATCACATACTGCCCTGTAAATTTTTCCTCCTCCCTCCTTGAGATGAATCCGATTCCGCTGAATTCTATAGCTGGTGTTGCCTGCAAGATCTCTTGAGGGCAGAGTGATTTAAAGTTTATATTTTAAGCCTTTATGAGTAACATTGTGACACTTTGGTTTGTAAAATCTGTAATAGAATTTCCAACTTAGTTGAAACTTGAATCTAACGGGAAGTTTTTCAGAACATGTAGGTGAATGAGCGTAAAATCATATTGACTGGATTTATTTTTATTTTCTGTGATTCCTTTCTGTGTTTATCTGATATGGTTTTCACTTCTAAAGATTTGGGTGCTGTCTTGACTTAATGGAATGTTTTAGATATAATCATTTGAGTTTATTGCTGTGTTGTATGGCTGAAGTGAAGCAAAACCAAGGAATTGTGAAGTAAAGACTTAGAAGGGGCCTTAGAGATTATCTAATTCAACCAGATACCCTAATTATTATTCCATAGAAAAATTTCAAACTCTCTTCAAAAATCTTCACAGTTTTATTTTGAAGTATTGGGTATTGAATAATCCTTACCTTCAAGTGTATTATGCTACTTGGCTTTGCATTGCAGTGTGCAGGAAACTTTCCTTGGGTATGTGTTGTAGTTGAGGGTCATAATGGGAGATCTGAACAAGAGGGTATTCAGAAGTTAAAACAGTATTGTTTCTTGCCCATCAGCATTTACTTAATAAAGTATTCCTCCTAGATATCTTCTCAGGTTAAGAGATTTTCATAGCTCATCTCTGCTTGTGATTGAGTAGAGCTGAGGCATGGAAAACATGAACTGTATTTCCTGACTTTGAACTTTGGATTTGTATACAGTCTTGTTCAAACTATAATAGTGGAAGCTAATGTCAAGGAATGGAAGTGTACCAATTATATAAGATTAATTCTTTTGAAAACATAAAAACTTATCTTTAAGTGGTTAAAAAAAGAAAGAAAAGATGCAGACTCACTTAACATGACAGTACTTAAATTTTTGCATATTTTTGATTTTTTAATAAAAATTTTAAAATATTCTTAAACCTGTGATTTTATTGGTATAGAACAGTGGTGTCAAACTCAAATAGAAATAGGCCACTGAACCGTACTCTTTGAGGGCCTCTTATTGACTTGAGAAACTGCATGTTAACATTATGCAAGTTCTGTTGCACTTTTATTTATTTTGTTCAATATTTCCCAATTACCTTTTGTTCTAGTTTGGGCTGCACTCCAGATTTTTGCCAGGCGGTATATTTGACACCTCTGGCATAGAGAACTTTGGGTAAGGAAACTTCCTCTGTCAGTGCAGATAGGCAGGCACCTGTTCAACAACTTAGATTCTTGGTAAGTTACCTGAAGCATTGAGAAATTGTGACTTAAATTGGGTTCCATGCCAAGATGTGTCATTTGCAGGATTTGAACCTAAGTATTTTGACTGGCCAGCTGTATTCATGAGACTGAGGTAATTCCTCTCTCTTTAGTGGATGAGACTTGGTGTAGGGGTGGATATCATTTTGATGTTTTTGCAATTTAATACCAGTATAGCCATGGAAAATTAAGGCCCACTGTGTTCAATGCATTAAGGGAGATACGAATTTTAGATAAGATAGCTTTTATAATGAAATGTAGACTCTAGTAAGGAGGGTATTTTATACAGAAAATGACAACTGAAGAACTGGGGATGGAGTGGATTTTTTTTTTATTACTAACACCTTTATCTGTAACTGAGATGTAGTTTTGTGGTTATTATAGCTGAGGGAAGCAATAGGGAGCCTCAGGCTCAGCCTGCTCACCCCATTTAAAATGCTAGGTAAATGCTGAATCTTTGGCTTCCACAATACTGATCAGTCTTTTCAGTTATCGGTTTCTTAATTGATTTTGAGATGAAAATTTTAATTTTCTAGTACTTTCAGTATATTGAAAAAGCTTAACAAGTACATTATATTATTTTATACTGCCTTATTTAGGTCATTGTAGTTTTTCTCTAGAAAGAACTGTTTTATTATTTTTTAACCTCTGAATATTAGGGTCTATAGTACCAGCTGTGACTGCATATCGAGTCTGTAAAGCCAAATGAACAAAAGCAAGAAGCAATTACACTTTGACCATATATAAAAGGAAGGGCAAACATTTGTTATTTTCCCTAATGTGTGACTCATTGAGTTATACTTGACTAATCAGTTTTTGGAAGACCCTATTAAGCCTAAAACAAAACAATACGCAAAACAAAAAAACAGCCAAAGTTCTGCAACTTTCCAGCTGTAGTTTCAACTAATAATCAAGTTTCAATGTTAATGATTTTTTTGAACCAAAATTAACTCTGCATTAAAATTTCATTACTAGCTTAACACTTAAATTCCAGTGTATTATGTGTCTAGAGTAAAGTAGTAACTGAATACCCATCATTTCTTAAATAAGGAAATATGCTGAATTTTGTTAAATGATTATAAATATATTACTGCTTTAAATTGAAGAGAAAGGTGGTGATATAATTAGATCACAGTCACATTGAGCTAAATGCATTGTTAAGTTAACAATAAATGGGCAGAACCTTACTAAATATAAGGCAGCAAATTCCGCTTCAATTCAACTAGGAACTAATACTATGTTATATTTATACTTTATATTTATCAGGCATCAGGTGTGCCAGATTCCCAACTACTGGTCGATTTCAGTAAATACCATCTTACTTGACTGGTTGGAGTTTGTGGGACAGTGAGAGGTGATTGGAAAAATACAGTACTTTCCATATAGTAGTTCTGCTTTCATAGGCTCCCAGATTTAAATCTGGAAGGGATTTCAAAGGTCATCTAGTTCAGCACCCTCAGAAACTGAGGCTGAGAGAGATTTCAGTGTCCTTGACTTTCTCATCGATATTCTTTGGGATGTACCACATACTGCTTCCACTGGATCTCAAAACTGAGAGTCAGTGGGTGAGTGGGGAGAGGGAAATTTGTAGAAATATGCGCCGATATTTCAATATTTCAGTACTTAAAGGGACTGTAATTTTGTTGGTATGGGCGCTGCTTCTGCTGAAGTATGTCACAGCTCCTGTAGGTAGACTTTGGGAATTGCTGTGTCAGAAAAAAAAAATCACCAGAAGGCAAACAATTCTTTACTGTTCACATTTAGTCTAATGCAGCCTCTTTCTTAATTTTTAAGTCTTTGTTAATTTCTCTATTGAAGCATAAGTGATGGTATGATCATTAAATTTCTAAAATCAGGTTGTTCAAATATGAGGAGTTACATGGGGTTCTAGTTAAAAGTTTTTGATACGATACTTGTAAATTCAATTTTAGCATGCAGACAGGCTCTTTAGGATATTTTTGACAGAGGATTGAGATGGAAAACTAACTCTGGAGATAGATTGCCTTTTATTCTGAAGTTTTAATAAAACATTTCAGATGTTTTGAGGAATAGAAACTATAGAGACTGGATCTGTGATTCTGTTGGACAGGGAACTTCCAAGTAAGGAAATTTCCTCTACCTGCACAGGCAGGTGTAAACCCCTTTCTGCAGTTTATAGTCTTAAAGAGTTGTCTAGGGCACTGTGAAAAGTTAGTTTATTTGCCCATGGTCACATAGCATGTGTCAGAGGCTAGACTCTTAAAACCACAAATATTGTTGTAAAGAATACACTTTGCACACCTGAATGTTCTGTGACCTAGTTACAAATGTACGGGACTTCAACAGAAGCAATGACACAAATATTGTATACCAAATCTTATTACTAACAATATTGTGTGCTATCTCTTTTCTAAGTCTTAGGCAGGATTAATAAGAACCTTGAATGAGATTTGGATTGTGAATTTTTGTATTTGTGTTCCAAAAGAAAATATCAGTAACCAGATGTTGTGGAAAATCTGGTTCAGATTTCAAAAGGTGTTCGGATCTTTGATTACATAAAATAAAAAGTAAATCTTTATTAGGATATTAAACTCTGAACTGACCTGTCTAAAACCATAGTATTTAGAATAAATCTGTGTTCGCTAAGGAAACAGCACCCACTTTTTGATATCTGTCCAGGAAAGTAGTAAAGCGAAATTGCTAAGTTGTTTTTGAAATTACTAGTAATTAGAATCCTGAGATGTAAAAAACGTATTTCTTTTACTCTTTGGAACAACTTCTTGACCTCAGTGGCCCATCAGGTGATTCAAGTGAAATGCTATATAGATGGATCAGCAAATCACTGCATAATATATGCCTACCCTACTTGTATGAGTCAATAGCATTTTTAAGAACAGTGGTATTTTTAAACTGCAAATTAGTTTTGTAATGG